TGTAACCAATTGGAGAGACTTTAATAGTGAATCAACGAAGACGACGTCTTAAACATAAACGGTGCAATGGTACCACATACTGTCGTACCGATTATTGGCGATGGAGCTTGCTTATTCCGAGCAATATCATACCTGTTATATGGTACTGAAGTTATGGTTCGGGAGGTGCGGGAGATAATAGTAACACACGTACCCAAGCAGCAGACTGTCGTCTAATTCACGTCAATTTTTGGTCATAACTCGTCGGCGACGTCATTCGCCCAAAAAATCACGTGAAAATGACGAGATTTTTATGACTTAGTTCTGACGTCAATTAATGACGTCAAAAGGCCGTCCTTTCTTCGTCATTTTTTATAGATTATATGATCAATTAGATGTGGGTCATCGTATTCTTTAAAAAGTGACCTTCACAATGCTTGATGAAGAGCTGACTACTTCATATATGGTGTTCCACTGACTAAAGTAGATGCACAGAACGACTTAGGAGTAACAATTACCACCGATTTAACGTGGTCACAACATATCGCTAAAATAGTAAGTAAAGCCAACAAAATGGTATATCTATTAAGACGTACGTTTAAAAATCCTAACCATGACACAGTTGCAAAACTACACAAAACATATGTAAGGCCAATCCTGGAGTATTCTAATTTAGTGTGGTATCCAATTTTAGTTAGGGATAGTGATCTGTTAGAAGGCGTTCAGAGGCGTATGACTCGATTACCTTATGGCATTTTGCGACCATCGTATGAACAGAGACTCGTAATCATGAAATGCCCTGCATTGGGTCAAAGAAGAACAAGAGGAGACGCCATTGCAACATTTATTGCACTCATATTAAATGTTCCTCCGACGAACAGCATGTTTACTTTGAATTCTGATGTGCGTACTAGAGGTCATCAGTTCAAGCTCCAGAAAGAAGCGTTTCGCACCAGAACCCGACAGTTTTTCTTCTCGAACCGTATTTTCGACACATGGAACTCTCTCCCATTACAAGTAGTGTGCAGCCCAAGTGTACTTAGTTTCAAGAAAAATTTTGATCATTTTATGAATATGTAAACTATTTGAATTGTAATATTTGTATTTGTTGAATTTAATAAAGTCAAGAACTATTGTTGCTCACGCGGGCATAACAGAGTGTGAGCTCTCTGCTCGAGCGTGCAATAATAATAATAATAATAATAATAATAATATTTCGAGCAAAAAATACAACGGCTTAATTAGAAATACACCAAAGACAAGTTTTTTCATTCTAATAATTTCTAATAAAATAATTATTTCTCAAAACTTGTTCACTCTGGAAGTGTTATTTTGTAAGTACCTGCTTGGCAAATTATAAATAGAACATCTGGGGTTGAGCGAAAAGACCCAACGACACAAACACAGTCATAAAAATTCTTTGTCCATTGTCCCTAAAACGGGACAAGGTTTTGAAGAATTCCTTAGTCGAATTTTGATTTTATAAAGATGTTTATAAAGTGATGACGGTTACCAAAAAAATTCGAGAGTGATTAATATTCAGTTTTATTAAATTTATTCTTATCCGTATTTACTATACAATACATCAGATGTTTGGGGTGTGCATTCGGACTTTCCCTTTTTTCGGTATTTATGTTTATTGCACTTCACAGAGAAGCATTCCAATATTTCCAGTTGGTTCTCAACCACCGAAACTTTCTCGTGTATCCGTTACTCACTTCATTTTTAACGCAGTTTTGTGCAAATTTATGTCATTCAGTGTGGGTTGTACTTATTTATAGTAGGTAAGTTGATATCTAATAAAGTAATCATTTTAATTTTTACGTGTTTCTGTTATTTTTGATAACTGTACGTAGATAACAAAAGCAGTTTTTTCAGATAAGCTGGAAAGACCACCATTAATCACTGAAGATACTCCCACTGATTATGAAGGACTTACGGTGATTGTTTTTGAATATGAGGCGCTATAAAATATTGCAAAGGTATGTTACTGCAATTTTTTATGAACTAATGCTAATGAACATAATTTTATTTTAGATTTGAAACATATACAAAACACATGTGAGAAACGAAAGAAATGCTAAAGGAAATGAGTGAAAAAATCTTCAACATGGAAACGTCATCAAATCTGACAACTGAAAAAGAAAAATTACACATAAACAAATTTTGACGAATTACAAGATTATGTTTGCATATCAGAACAAACAGATTTCTTTGTAAGTTAAAAAAATACAATGAATTCATATATACATATATAACATTAATATTGGATATTATATACCGGTAGATGCCTGTAATACTACGATACTTTTTGGTAACTTACTATTTACACATACACATTTCGCTTCATTGTAAAAAGTATTGACAATGAGATTTTCCTGATAGGCTGTACGTTTTTGTTAATGAAACCATTTTACGATTATCCGTTAGATTCAAGTAAATTTAGCATTTTTAAAATACAGAATTTGTCTTCTGCTTTAAGCTGTAATTCCTTAAACTTAATAATAGTCAAATGCTTGCCCATAGATGCAAAAATTATTGTATTTCCATTAATCCAGGCACTCTAACGGGTTTTTCTTTTCAGTTCAATAAATTGAGGCAAACTTAAAAAACTTAGGTTATTGATATGATTGTTAAAACAGAATTAATTCTTAACGGTACTTTTTTGTGTGTTGGGGACAGTCAAGTCGTCGTGAATTAAATAGTTTTACATATGTATACTGTGGTTTTACAGTGCATTTTCAATCAAGTAACTTCAACAGTGCGATTCAATTGTCTTTTCCCTTTATTCTACTCTTTTTTTAATACTTTTTGTAAATAGATTTGTTTGTGTTTTTAAGAGTCATCTATAGTTTATTATAGTTTTTTTTTTTTAATATTCTTTGTAACTAAATAGATTTCTTTGTGTTTTTAAAACTGATTTTTCTTTAAATAGCATATTTTATTGCAACGTTTATTTTTGATTATATATTGTAAAATATCCTTTTTTTTGTTTATACCAATTATACTCGTAATTACCTGTATGTAGATTTGTTTGTGTTTTTAGGAGTGGTTTATCTTTAATTTGTTTAATTGACATATTTTTTATTTGTTTATTGAAGTTCATTGTTGGTTGTACAAAATTGTAGTAAATTTAATTTTTTTACACTAATTTGTTTTAACTTTAATTAATATATACTTTGTTTTGGGCTTTACTTGGTGATTATAACGAATTATAATATTTTATTTAAGCTAAATAATATAAAAAAATAAAATTATTTCAGCGTTTTATTTATTGCATATTTTTTTCTAAAAATCAAAATACAAAAAACGTCTTAAAATGGATAATAAATGCCGTCTCTGGGACGTCAGTAAATTACGTCAATAATTCGTTACAAAATGACGACTCTAAGACGTCAGTACATCACGTCAATAGTTCGTGAGAAAATGACGTCATCTGGACGAGACATTTGACCGTCACTGGTACGTCAATATCACGTGAAATCTTTGGTCACTATGACGTAAATGATGACCATTTATTCACGTGAAAAAGACGACATCATGTTGCCTGGGTAGTAGAGCGTTGGGATGAGTTTTCCATCCTATCCCACGACAGAGATGGAAATAATTTTAACAGTGCTGCTGACTACCTTGCCGAAATGTCACAGTCCTATACTTATGGTGGTTTGTGCGAATTAGTGGCTTCTGGACAAATATTTCCATATGTATTTGAGGTTTATTATAACGGAGAGTTGTATGAAAAATTCGGCATAGAAGAAAATCCCGTATGTAAATTGCGTTTTAGTACTTCGCACGATCTTTCTAATGGGCATTTCGACGTTTATCAATCTTCTGAGGATCAATTAATTCCAAGTTTCATTTCTCAAAATGATACTGAAAAAAAGAAGCACCACCGGGCTAGATTTACCGACGCAACTAGAAAAAAACAGCTCAAAGATGCCGCTATCAAGTACATGCAACGTAATCCGGATGTTCATCGTAAGGCTGTCATGGTTTATCAACGGAAAAATCCAGAGGCTCACCGCGCTGCAGTGATGACTTACCAGCAAAATAATCCAGATGTTCATAGAGCAAGTGCTTTTCGGCATGAAAGGAATAATCCAGGAAAACAATCAGAAAGACGATTGCTTCCGTGGAAAGTTAAAGCTTTGTCTGGAATGATGTATGATCTTGAATTAGCTTATGAAACTGATAAAACTGTTGCCCTAGGTGCTATGAATCACAAATGCATACATTGTCTTGTTTATAAGTGGAAAGAAGAAGCTCCTGGCATGTGTTGCCCCGGTGGTAAAGTGCAACTTCCAACATTTAAATCCTTGCCAGAGCCTCTTCACAGCTTGATTATGGGTCTTCATCCAGAGCAGGTTCATTTTATGGATGGTATTAGAAAGTATAACAGTTGCTTTCAGATGACGTCCTTTGGAGCTAAGAAAATAATGGAAGATGGTTTTATGCCCACGTTTAAAGTACAGGGACAGGTTTATCATTTGGTTGGTAGCTTATTACCCTTGCCCCAACAAGAACCTCAATTTTTTCAAATTTACTTCATTGGTGAAGACGAGAGAGAGGTAAATTTGAGATGCAGTAATTTCTCTAGTGTGAAACCAAATCTGGTCAAACAACTGCAAGCGATGTTGCACGAGAAAAATTCATATATAAGGGACCTGAAAACAACTCTTCAAAAAGTACCCGAAGATTGTGAAAAATTTGAAGTCGTTATTCACGCTGATAGAAAACCAGCCAATGCTCACACAGGCCGTTATAATGCATAGACAACGAGTGAAGTTGCTCTGGTCATAGTCGGACAGCAGTTCGACAAGCGAGATATCGTTTTACAAAATCACGATAACAAATTGCATCGGATCAGCGAGTTACACCGCTCATATGACGTCCTGCAATACCCACTCCTATTTTGTTATGGTGAGGATGGTTAGTCTATTGACATACCGCAATATGATCCTAAAACAAAAACATCTCTTCAAAAAACCTTATCGGCGCTAAATTTTTATTCATATCGCATCATGGTCAGAGAAGAAGACGAAAATCGATTGTTATACTATCGTACCCTTTTTAGTCAATATTTAGTTGATATGTATGCGAAAATAGAAACGGAAAGATTGAATTATATCAGGTACAACCAAGCATACCTCAGAGCAGATAGTTATGTACATTTGAAAGATGCGATAGGAAGGCAGGACACCGATATTACTCAACTTGGTAATAGGGTGGTACTCCCTTCATCGTTTACTGGATCACCTCGATATATGCATGAAAGAACTCAAGATGCAACGACCTACGTACGCCATTACGGTCGCCCAGACCTTTTCATCACATTTACATGCAATCCTCAATGGAAAGATATTGCAGATGCATTGCTGCCTGGTCAAAAGCCACACGATCGTCATGACATTATAGCACGGGTATTTCATTTAAAAGTTAAAGCAATTATGTCACTGCTAACAAAAGGAAATTTGTTTGGAAAAGTGCGTTGCTTTATGTATTCCGTTGAATGGCAGAAGCGAGGTCTTCCACACATCCACATTTTGTTGTGGTTGGAGCAGCGAATTTCTGCGATTAATATAGATAATGTTATCTGTGCGGAGATACCGGATCCTCAAAAGGATCCTATCCTTTATAAAATTATCAAAACCAATATGATCCATGGGCCCTGCGGAAATTTGAGGAAATCCCCGTATATGAAAGGAGGTTGCTGTAGCAAAAAATATCCTCGAATTCTCCTGAAAGAAACCCAAACAGGCGACGACGGCTACCCTAAATATCGGCGAAGAGCTCCCGCGGATGGTGGATTCACGGTTGAAATCCATGGTGTAACCCTAGATAATAGATGGGTGGTACCGTATAATCCAGTTTTGTCTCGAACTTTTGCTGCTCACATCAACATCGAGTATTGTAACTCTGTAAAATCTATTAAATATATATACAAATACGTCAATAAAGGATCCAACCAAGCCTCATTTGGTCTTGAAAATGACAATGATGAGGTCAAATTATATGAAAGTGGTCGATATATTAGCAGCTCTGAAGCTGTTTGGAGAATCCTGGCCTTTCCTATACATGAAAGATTTCCAGCTGTTTTTCATCTCGCAGTGCACTTGGAAAATGGCCAGCGTGTCTATTTTAATCCTAACGACTTCAATAATGTGACTGAAAAGGTAAATAATCCACAGAAAACTACTCTTCTAGCATTTTTTGATCTTTGCAAAACGGATAATTTTGCAAAAACCCTTCTCTATGTTGAAGTCCCTTCATACTATGTGTGGAAAAGTACTAAATTTGAGAGACGAAAACGTGGAAACAATGTTGATGGTTGGCCGGGAGTCAAAAAAGATCAAGCTTTGGGCAGAGTGTACATCGTCCACCCTAATAACGCCGAATGTTACTACCTTCGTCTTCTTCTTCATCAAGTGAGAGGGCCAACATCATTCTCGGATTTAAAAACTATTGATGGTGTCGTTTATCCCACATACCAGTCATCATGTAAATCTTTGGGTTTGCTAGAAGATGACAAGCAGTGGAATGCTACAATGGAAGAAGCTGCTCTTACTGATTCTCCTTTTAAGCTACGAGACCTGTTCTCAATTTTGTTGATATTTTGCAAAGTAACAGACGCTTTAAGTATAAAAACAGTCTGTCGGAGGACATAAAACGTCAAGTGCAGTCAGAGTGTCAAGACAGTGTTCAGATTATGAATGAAGTGTACAACAAGTGTCTGAGTTCCATTGAAGATACGGTTTTATCTTTAGGAGCACAATGTTTAGAGTATTATGGTTTGCCTCAGCCTGAAAGACGTGAAGAAGTCATACAAAACAGAGAGATTAGCTATGACACACTTTTATTGGCTCAAGTAGTATCCAACAACGAAAGTTTATTAAATACAGAACAATATCAAATTTACAACCAAGTTTTAGATAGTATCGAGAATGGCACTGGTCAAGTATTCTTTTTGGATGCTCCTGGAGGCACGGGTAAAACGTTTCTTTTAAAATTATTATTGGCTAGAGTACGAAAAAATGGCGGGATAGCCTTGGCAGTTGCTTCTTCTGGCATAGCAGCCACGTTGCTGGATGGCGGTAAAACAGCGCATTCTGCTTTTAAATTACCCTTAAATCTAATGCGTGTAGAGACACCTCTGTGCAACATTTCAAAGTAGAGCAATATGGCGCAAGTCTTGAAAGAAACAAAACTTATAGTATGGGATGAATGCACTATGGCCCATAAAGGAGGCGTAGAAGCTCTCAGTAAAACTCTGCGAGATATAAGAGAAAATGGTAGTTTGATGGGCGGCGTTACGGTTCTCTTAGCTGGAGACTTTCGACAAAACTTACCCGTCGTACCAAGGGGAACACGAGCCGATGAAGTGAGGTCATGTTTAAAATCATCGTATTTGTGGCCCCAAATTAAGAAGCTCGCCTTAAAGACAAATATGAGAGTACTTTTAGGAGATGATGCTACCGTTGGTGAGTTTGCACAGACTGTGCTTCAAATAGGAGATGGAAATTACCCTACAGTTGATGGTAAGATTATTATACCACCAACTCTGGCTACAGTAGTAGAATCTCTTACAGAACTAACCAACAAAATTTACCCCGACATCATCAATCTCAAAGCAAAATCCATAGACTGGTTATGAGAACGTGCTATTTTGACTCCTAAAAATGAGAGAGCGGCTGGTATTAACGATCTTTTGTTAAAATCATTTGAAGGAGAAGAAATTCAATATAAATCCGTGGATTCGGTAGTACAAACTGATGATGCTATAAATTATCCAGTCGAGTTTTTAAATACGCTTAACCCAGCTGGTCTTCCCCCTCATAATCTCACACTTAAGATTGGCGCACCAGTTATGCTATTAAGGAACCTGACCCTCCAAAGTTATGCAATGGCACCAGATTGCAAATAACGGCTCTCCACCACGATAATCACGGGATGTGCTCAAGGGGAAAAGGTACCACGAATACCTTTAATACCGTCAGAATACCCATTTGAATTCAACAGGTTGCAGTTCCCCCTGAAGGTCTGCTTCGCAATAACTATCAATAAAGCACAAGGTCAAACATTGAAAATGGCCGGAATAGACCTGATGGAAGACTGTTTTTCTCATGGACAGTTCTATGTGGCCTGTTCCAGAGTGAGTGCCGCGAGTCGTCTGGTAATTCTAGCACATGGAAAGCTTACGACGAATGTGGTATACAAAGAAGTACTGTGTTAGTAACAAATTAATTTTGTTCTTTGTTATAATTTTTTATTTCCGTAATTGGGTTGAAATAAATAGAATATATGTATTAAGTATAGTTACTATTATATTATATTTTTGTTAGAATAGTTTTGTTTCACATTACGAAAGAAACCTTTTGTCCAAATTTCATGTTTATAGCTCCAGTAGTTATGTTGATGAATCAGTCAGCCGGACAGGACAAAAACTTTTATACATATATTGTTATTATTATTAATGAAGACTCCACAAACTCAAAAAATAATATAAATTGAAATCAACAAATAAATAAGGAGATGAAAAATAATGTGTTCTAATTGCGAAATCCACGCAAGCAGAGCTGCGGGTAACAGCTAGTTATTTTATATGTAAAAAATTTTATTTAAAAATTGTCCAAGCTCAAAAGTGAAAAATTTGAAGTTGAAACTTTGAAAAATTGCAACAAAAATCAAAAATAAAAATGGAATAGTTGAAATATCGGAAAAATCAAAAACAATTCGTAAAATAGAAGGACTGAAGAACATTTAAAAAAACAAAAATTGATGTCAATTAGAACGTGCTTGGACAATTCGAATGTGCGCTGATTTGAATTTGACGCCAATGTGTTTTGTTGTGATTGGTCGGCACGATTGCCGAAATTAAAGTAATCTATTGCACTGAGGATTTTAATTTGTGCGGTTATGTTTGTTCTTGTTACACGTGTATAAAGAAATATTTAATTATTTCCGGTTTTAACTGTGTTCCAACGGGATTTGGGTAAGAAAAATGCCAGTATTCTTCCACACTGTGATAAACCGGTTTTAGGTGGCCAGAATATCGGCTTTGGAATATTGTGAAGCAATCGCAACAGGTGGGAGGTCTCTATGAGAAAACATACACACTTGTAAACTATGCCCTTATTCTTCAACCTGTCTTTTCCTTACGGCAAACCACGTGAGACGACACTGATTCTCCCTGGAAACATTTACTTGTGACAACGCCAAAATGAAAGCTTATCACTGTGAAGACTGCGATTTTAAGACGAAACTGCAATTTGTGCTTAAACAACACATTAATAAACATCACGGCCCTCAGAGAGAATCTAGTGAGGAAACATCTAGTGATGAAACATCTAGTGACGATTCCACCAAAGAAAACTACGGTTGCGCCATATATTACTTTGAGCCAAATCTGTCGTTAAAGTCGTTTCAGCATACTTTAGCATGCACGGAAACGAAAGAAAATCCTCAAAGTGTGAATTCCTTGAAAGAGAATGCCACCAATAGTTCCGATGTTGAATGGCACAAGTGCCAAAAATGTCCGTTCAAGGCCAAAACAAAATGGAATTTAAAACAACACACAAACTGCATACACTTGAACGACGATGACGTTAAGTGGTACAAATGCAAAAAGTGTTGTTTCAAAACTAAGTACAAAAAATACATAAAGGTACACCTACGTGTGAAACATCCAGATGAAGAAAAAATTAAATGGTACGAATGTGAAAATTGCTCATTCAAAACCAAATTGCCGTCGTACTTAAAAAAACATATAATTTTTCAACATTTGGATAAAAAGGAAGGTAAGTGGTACAAATGTACGACCTGTTCGTATAAAAGTAGATTTGGGACTAATTTAAGAAGGCATGTCAAGACCCATTTGAAGATTAATTCATATCAGTGCGATTCATATCAGTGTGACTACTGTTCATTTAAGACGAAATATAATCATAGTTTAAAGCGTCATATAAATAAGCGTCATAGGATCATGTTTCTTTAATGTGACGTGTGCTCTCAATATTATCAGTTTATTTTGCCATTTTTGGTTATCATTCTTTTGTAAGTTGCATTTAATTTACACTTTTATGCATTCCGCTTCTATTGGCGTAACAGTCAATTGGTGAGCTGTTATCAAACTTACTTAATTTGTAATTTAGTTTGTTAATATCGGTTTGTTTACTAATGATAGTTCCTTTATTGGCCACACAACGTCAAACCATAGATTAATATAGATGCGACTTAGAGACTGATTTTGCAAAACCACCCTTATTGACATTGGAGTCCTCAACCGCCAAAGGGAAGCGCCAAATTTAAATAGCCGATGCCAATAAAAACCTTGTTTCACTATAATTGTAATTCGTGTGACCCGAATGAAAGTGAAGAAAACAGTAAGCAGCTTGTAATATTCTGGTAAATCTAGTGTCAATTTGTCGGAAATAAAACGCGTCGTTGAAAATATTATGACATATCTTCTAGTTACTTTTATTCCTATTTAGAGACAAACACTGCTACCAACATAAAATGAGGAGTCCGCAACCATGGTAGAAGGAGACATGGTATAGGCATCCGATGTACCAATTTAAAAATGGTCTGCGCATCCATTTGTGACGTTAGGTGGCATCAACGACCTTGTGACTCTTGTGAGCTTCGCTAGGGAAGTCTAGGGAATTTCAGCTTGAGTTGTCATTGCTCTGTCCAATACGTCAATTAGTTGTCGGATAACGAATTGTATTTTAAATTTCGCGCTAATTTCACCCCACTTGACGTCACACCAGATGCGTATGCCTATACCATGTCTCCTTCTACCATGTCCGCAACCGTCATTTGATTTAAACTATGACGCTTCTCGGTGTTCTCTGTGGACGTCGGCGTATTACCTGTTTGGGATACGTTGTGTTAGTTTTGTTTGTTTACATTTGAGTATCCTTGCATGCTATTAGTTTTGTGAAGTATTGTCTGCTTTTAGGCCTAGCGTTTTCGCGATGGCATCTAATCACTTCTGTTCCGGTTGTAATGATCCTGTTTCTGCATCGTGTAGTATAGCTTGTGACCTTTGCAAACAATTTTCTCACTTCAGTTGCCTGGGAATCAAGCAGGAAGAAATTAGTACGATTAATCGTCTTCATTTGCATTCGCCTCACTTTAAAATTTTGTGTGTGATTTGCATCGACTTTGTCTCCCTCTGAAGCATCTCCTTTAAATGCCGAAAATCCTTTTTTGAAATATGTTCACACTATTGTTTCGCATGAGCTCAAGCCTATACGAGATCAATTAGAATCTCTGCAGCGCTCCATTAATACAACTTTGCATCCTACTTATTAACGAAAACCTTAGTTGTGCTAATAAGTTAAAAAATTCTTCTGATTGCAGCGTTATTATTAAACCAAAAAACTCGTCCCAAACAGTTAAACAAACCAAGTCAGATGTTCTCCATTCTATTAAACCTCTATCTTCAGATATTGAAATTAGTAGCGTTAAATCTGTATCTAATGGCGGCCTTGTAATAAAATGTGCAAATAAATTTCACAGCGAAAAACTCTTAGATATCGCCAACAATAAACTTCTAGATACTTACAACATAAAAAAACACCTCTCATTCTACTTCGCCTACCCTTTGTTGGTATTCCCTAAAGTTTGGATAAAAATGATATTGCAACTTACGCCTTAACTCAAAATCCACATTTGTTTGATAACGATTCCATTTGTGAAGTTAAAAAAAAAAAATTGGTCTACTTCCAAATCTGAAAATACTCTTCAAGCCGAATGTTTAGTTGATGTTCATTCCTACAAAAAACTTTTACATACTGGTCATCTACTTATAGGCCTCAATGGTTGCACAATGTTTGACGCTGTTACAGATTTGAGGTGTTTCAAATATAATGCCTTTGTGTTTTCCATTCAGATAGAAAATAAGATACATTCAATGTTTCTAGAGGAGGCGGTGTTTTTATAGCTGTTAATTCATCTATAAGGGCTGTAAAATTAGATCTAAGTAATATAAATTTAACATCACTGCCATCGGTCGACTTAATTGGCATCAAACTTTATTTTCAGAGATGCATTCTTCAACTTCTCTTGCTCTATATTCCCCCTGCCTCATCTACCAATGAATATTCTTTGCTATTTGAAACTCTATACCAATGTAATTATTTGTATGACTCAAATGTATTTATTTATAACTCTATGGACTTACCACCGTCTGTGAAACACCTTTCGGATTTCCTCACGTTTCTTTCTTTACATCAGTGTAATAATATTACAAATAATCTTATCGGATTCATGACCTCGTAATTTCTAATGAGTGTATTACCACCTCTAACGCAAATGACCCTCTAGTAAGAGAAAACTTACACCATCCGTCCTTAACTTGGACATATAATCTGAGCATTTCAAAATCACCTAAAGAATTAAGCCCTGATTCAATTTTTTGTTTCAATTTTCGTAAAGCTAATTTTCAGGAACTATACAGTGAGCTGTTGCTTTCTGACTGGAATTTTAAACTCAGATATCATGATGTTAACTCAGCCTGTCAGACATTCTATGAACTCCTATTTTCAATTTTGGAGCGTTTTGTGCCCAGAACCAAACTCCGTTCCTTAAAATATCCGATCTGGTTTTCAGCAAAGACTGTTAAGGTAATTAAGAAGAAGGATTCATTATGGAAGAAATTTAAGAAATCATAATTACCTAGCGATCGTGAGGAATTTACACTTGTCAATAAAGAAATTCGAGTTTCCTGTGGAAATTTTGTGGCTCAAGCTGAATCAAACATAAAATCGGATCCAAAAGAAATCTGGAAATTTGTGAAGTTAAAGAAATGGAACTCCGGTGTCACTTACAATATGACTTACCCGAATGAAACTGTCTCTGGAGGTAATCAGATTGTACATTCATTTGATAATTATTTTAAATCAACTTTTCAACCATCGAGTATTTTTGGCCTAGTTAACAACGGGGACTCTGTGTCTAACAATAACTTTTCTGTCACTGAAATATCTGAAGACGAAGTGTTCTTAAAAATAAAAAACTTAAAATTTAATAATTTTTGTCTAAACCACTAACATACCTCTACAACATAATACTATCAACACAAACTTTTCCTGATGAGTGGAAGGTATCCAAAATTATCCCTCTCTTTAAAAAAGATGACAAGTCGGTCATGGAAAACTACCGTCCTATTTCTCTTTTGAATAATTTCGCTAAGATCTTTGAATCTCTTTTGCATGACACTATCTAAATTAAGCATCATTTAAGTGATGCCCAACATGGATTCGTTCAAGGCGGCTCCACAGTTACGAATTTAATGACCAGTGTTAGGGACATATACTTTTAAAAGTATCTAGATACAGATATCGATATGTGGAAGATAAAAGTATCTAGATACAGATTGTTTTCGATTTTTTCGAACTCTATCTAGATGCAGATACAAGAAAACAGATATTTTTTGAAGCTTTGGCGAATAAAATAACTGAAAACATGTTTATGTATTTTTTTATGTATTGTTTAATGATCTTTTTAAAATTAACAACATTTCGAACGTATTGTCACCTAAATTATTTCTTCTTGGTGTCAGAATTTGTTTTCCGCTACTAAACACCCGTTCCACAGGTGCAGAAGAAGGGATTGTGGTATTAAATTTAAAAAATAAACATTTTACTGTAGCATAGTTATTCAAGACTGAAAAATATTTTCTTTTTTCCTGCAAATAGACCATCGCTTCGCTCTTTAATGTGTCGCATATTGTGCAATATTTATTACGTACACTTAAAAAGAATATTTTTTTTTTGTTTTTATTCCCATACTACAGTGTCCAAATTGTGTTTGAGTATATCTAATAATTATCTCCAGCATTAAAATTAATATTTCAAAAGAATACCGGAAACGATTATTCTGTGCTGAAGGTCTGTTGTCGGCAACCTGTCATAAATTATTATTCTTCAATATCGACTTACGATGTTTTTATGACCATGTCCGGTAATCGTCTATCCCGGTGCGGCAGGTATATACACTTTGGGAAGAATTGCTGGTTCCGTTTAAGGCAAAATAAGTACAATTTCTAAGAAAGGTATCTAAATCCCTTATAGGATCAAAGACTGCCTGGCAGGCCGGAATCACCAGAGTGCAACTTTAAATTTTCAGATTTTTGTTGAAACTCATGTTATTTTAATCTCGTTTCACGATTTCTGAGAATATATCACGATAAATTATTCTACCGAGGGTTGTAAAAATATTAATTTTATTGCCCAAGATTTACACTTAAACATAATCGGCACATTCTAGGGCAAAACAGACCTGCCAAGCCCGCCTCGCGTTAGGTCCAACAATGAAAAAGTGAAGAAATGACACATGTGGCAATAGGAAAAGATGCTACATTTGTCTGAAAAATAAAGGTATAAAACAGTAACAAATATGCGATTTATGGGAGAGAAATGTATGTATTGAACATTCGATTAGTCGATTATAGAACTAATTTTGTGCTAATTGAAAAAATTAATCATTATGTAACACGCAATTATTATTATCTAAAAATAATAGCATACCTTAAACAAATATTTTTACTATTAAAATTACTCTTATTTAATAACGCAAATACAACCAGCGGGCCTACTAGACCCGGGTTGCTCAGGTACCCAGATAAAATGCATAGCTCCGATAAGCGTAAAACGCAGTGAACAGTGAATTGTGGTTTATGGTTTTTAAAACACCATCTTACCATGGCTTAGATTTATTACCCCTCAGGATTATATTTAAAGATGTATAAGTACTGAAGGCTACAATGTAGGAAATGATGGTATTTAAAATATGAAAATTTCCGTGACAGAACACTATTAGTGGACCTCTTACCTCTATTTTTGTTTATGTGACCAAAATCACCAACATGAAGTATCAAAAATTACTACTAGTATAACTCAACTAATAACTACTGAAAAAGAAGTGAAATAAAAAATGTATCTGTATCTGCGCCATTAATTTTGTATTTAGATACAGATATTTTGTGCTTAAATTCGATTTTATTTAGATACAGATACCAGATACCCAAAAATGTATCTAGATACTTTATTTAGATACAAATATCTAGATACTGCCCAACACTGTTAATGACCATATCTCAAGATCTCGCTAGCAATTTAGACAATGGCTATCAAACCGATGTTGTGTACACGGATTTTTCAAAAGCATTTGATCGTTTGGACCACGGTATTTTGCTGCGAAAACTCTTAGAATTTGCTTTTTTTGAAAAATTATATTTACTTTTCGCTAGTTACTCGTACATTACTGAACGTAAATGCTACGTTGAGACCTGGTTTATAGAAACCGAAGTTAAAGTTAATTCGCGATTAACTTTTAATTGAGGTTCGTTGCTAGGCGACGTGCAGGTTTTAACCAATCACGAGCTCCCATTCCACATTTTAATCCAGTGTTAAATTAATCGAGGATTAAATATTTAACTCGCGCTTCTATAAACCGGCCCTTAATGTTGTGGCTTCCGTTCATCCAATTTCACTGCTACCTCAGGCGTTCCTCAAAGCTCCGTTCTTGGGCCCCTAATTTTTAACGTTTTCATAAATGACATTGCCAATGATATCCGTTCTTCTGTTCTTCTGTACGCTGACGATATGAAACTCTATCGTCGCATTACTAGCATTCAAGACACTCTAATTTTGCAATCAGATCTAGATAAGGTACATTCGTGGTGTTCAAAGAATGTTCTTCAATTAAACTATTAGAAGTGTTATCTCTTATCGTTCACGTTATTAAGAGTTTTGATAGATTTTAACTACATCCTCAATAACAATATTATTTTGCGACAATCTCAGGTAAAGGTCCTAGGTGTTATTTTTGATAAAAATCTGTCTTTCACAAATCGTGTAAATACTATTATATCGAAAGCACTAAAAATATTTGGTTTTATAGTTAGGAATTGTACTCATGTAAAAAGTGAAACACCCGTTAAATTGCTCTATTATTCCCTGGTTAGGAGCAAACTTGACTATGCGGCAATTGTGTGGTGTCCACAATACACATGTCATGGAAATAGAAAGAGTACAAAGAAGATTTCTAAAGTATTTAAATTTTAAGATGTCAATGTCAATCCGTTTTTACAGAAAACCCTTGATTTTTTGGATGTATAAAATTCACTTTGTCGTTTATGATATGCCCGTAACTTCGAATAAGTCGACGTTTTGGTAATTAACAATGTAGTCATACGGTGAAAGGTTATGTTAAATTTTGTTTGTTGCAATTTCTTTTTAATGAGCTCCGACGGTAGCTTGTGTAACTAGTGTAAAGGCAGTTTATTAACAAAAAAATACTCGGTTATTTAACACCACTAGTTCTGGATGTTTTCCATAAGTTATGATTTCCGTTTGTTAATTCTCACCCGACTTTATTATTTTATATGTAAATAAAAATTTTATCTAAAACTTGTCCAAGCTCAAAAGTGAAAAATTTGAAGTTGAAACTTGGAAAAATTGCAACAAATATCAAAAATAAAAATGAAGGTCTCAAGAATATTTAAAAAAACAAAAATCGATGTCAATTAGAAAACGTGCTTGGACAATTCGAATTTGTGCTAATTTGAATTTGACGCCAATGTGTTTTGTTGTGATTGGTCGGCACGATTGCAGAAATTAATATAATCTATTGCACTAGGGATTTTAATTTGTGCGGTTATGTTTGTTCTAGTTACAAGTGTGTAAAGAAATATTTAATTATTTCCGGTTTTAACTGTGTTCCAACGGGATTTGTGTAAGAAAAATGCCAATATTCTTCCACACAGTGATAAACCGGTTTTAGATGGCCAGAATATCGGCTTTGGAATATTGTGAAGCAATCGCAACAGGTGGGAGGTTTCTATGAAAAAACATACACACTTGCAAACTATGCCCTTATTCTTCAACCTGTCTTTTCCTTACGTCAAACCACGTGAGACGACACTGATTCTCCCTGGAAACATTTACTTGTGACAACCCCAAAATGAAAGCTTATCACTGTGAAGACTGTGATTTTAAGACGGAACTGCAATTTGTGCTTAAACAACACATTAATAAACATCACTGCCCTCAGAGAGAATCTAGTGAGGAAACATCTAGTGATGAAACATCTAGTGAGGATTCCAGCAAAGAAAACTACGGTTGCGCCAAATATTACTTTGAGCCAAATCTGTCGTTAAAGTTGTTTCAGCATACTTCAGCATGCACGGAAACGAAAGAAAAACCTCAAAGTGTGAATTCTTTGAAAGAGAGTGCCACATACAGTTCCGACTTCAACCAAACTGACGAAATACGTTGGTATTATTGCGACAAATGTCTCTACAAATGTAAAATCAAAAGAAATTTAACTCGTCACATTAGAGTTTTCCATTCGCACAGGTGGTATGCATGCGACAAATGTCCATATAAAACTAGATATAAATCCGCTTTAAAAATTCACATAAATAGAATCCACTTAGATGAACAAGCTGTTGAATGCTACAAGTGCCAAAAATGTCCATTCACGACCAAAGCAAAATGTAGTTTAAGCCTACACACAAAGAGCTTACACTTCAACGACGAAGATGTTAAGTGGTACAAATGCAAACAGTGTTGTTTCAAAACTAAGCATAAAAAATACATAAAGGTACACCAACGTGTGAAACATTTAGACGAAGAAAAAATTAAATGGTACGAATGTGAAAGTTGCCCATTCAAAGCCAAATTTGCATCGGCCTTAAAAAGACATGTACTTATTTATCATTCGGGTGAAAAAGAAGGTAAATGGTACGTATGTACGACCTGTTCATTTAAAAGTAGATATGGGTCTAATTTAAGTAGGCATTTGAGGATCCATTTGAAGATCAACTCGTATCAGTGCGACTATTGTCCATTTAAGACGAAACACCATTCTTCTTTAAAGCGTCATATAAATAATCGTCATAAGAATGGAACGGATGTTAAGGAGTAAGGCTTTTAATAAATTGAATGTATATGAACCTAAATTTTTGTTTAGCAATAATTTTTTTATCCTTTGTGTCAACACTCCAAGATATGTTAAATTTTGTGACTACATTTTCGTCCACATTTTGAATAAAAAAAATCAATTAATTATTTGTTTTTGTGTTACGTATATTAGATAAATACCACAACGAGTGGTAAGCTGGAAAACGCTCATCTATTATTGTTGTCATTGATCGATTCACTTTTTGAGATTATGTGTATCAGAAATATACGTTTTGCAGACAAATTTTTAAATAATTTATTGGCTTGTTTTCGTTGATTAACGCTTAAATCTCCCTAATGACGTGACAAAAACAGAGGGAATAGTTATCATCATCGGCTACCCCATAGCAAATTGTTACTTATCAAAAAATCGAGACATCATTTTTGATGTAAAAATATTAGGTTAGGGTCCATCTGTGTGAAATCAACCAAGCATTAAAAGTTATTAAAAATATACCGGGTCGCCAAAAAGTATGGAAGCAGCTGAATATAGCGAGAACCGTTTATTATTTTTTTTGATATTTGGGCTATCCTTAGGAATACTCAAGTTCTATTGTCTGCAATTTTTTAGAATTTGATACTTCATTTGTTTATGAGATGCAAGGCTTTATTTTTTCCCAACATCGCAGCTATATTTGACAATACTATCACCTGTTATAGTCCTGGCGCAGGATACTTTATTCAAAAATTATGCTAGTGCCCAATCATTCTAAAAATGATAAAACTGAGGGTACATAACCTGAAATAAAGGTGCCAGCGTAACAGATTGATTTAAATGCTGTTTCGAAATAATTTAATGACTAAATAGTGAATACATTGTTATTAAAGCTTTTAAAAATTTAAATAAAAAATTACATTGTTGAAAAAATATCAACTTAACATTTAAAAAACAATAATTTTACATCAAATGTTCAAAATGTTCTGCACTGGAGTATAGGGTAGTAAAATTTCTTACTTCTTCTTTTGGTGCGTTACATTATATCCATGCGTTGAAAGCTCACACAGTTTAGTAGCAATGATGTAAACGTTAATGTGAAAACACACTTGACAGAAATCCACTTACTAACACTTAATTTATTCTGACAACGTTTGCTGAATTTCTGGATGATTTTTCCGACGTTATTATTCACATTTCATAACTTCTCACTCGAGTTTTCAAAATAGTTTATTGATTGAGCTTAAAAGTAACTTTAAATATTGATGCACTTTGAAAATTAACATCATCGTGGATTATGTGTGATTGTTCTACAATCCAACTTTGAATATTACTTCTTGGCCACGTGTGTACCAAAACCACCTTAGTTTGATTTTTGCTGCATTTAATACGTGTTCGAAAAAATTATAAGTTGAAAACACGAAAAACCAAATCAAAAAACTGAAAGCCCTTTAAAAATTCAAAAATCGGTAGCAAAAAAAATGAAAAGGTGTAAATATTGATTTAAATGCTGTTTCCAAATAATTTACAAAATATTCTACAAACAACAATTCTCCGATTTAACGAGAGTACATTGTTATGTAAGCTTTTTGAAAAATTTAAATTAAAAACTAACATTTCAAAATCAATCATTTTACAAGAAATGTTCGAAATATTCTCCATTTACTTCCTGGCAGTAGTAAATACGTAACACAAAGTTTTCAAATGAATGTATTATATAAAAGGAGGAATGTCAGGAATCACATTTAATTTTCTTTCTTGGAGTTCTTCGATTATTTGTGCTTCCTTAACGTAAACTCGATTTTTTTTACATAACCCCACAGGAAAAAGTCAAGTGGAGTTAAATCGGCTGACCTAGCTGGCTACTTAACTACTCCTCTTCGTTCTATCCACCTTCCACGAAAAATTTCATTTAAGTTATGCGTTACTTTACGCCCAAAGTGAGGTGGTACTCCATCTTGTTGGAATCAGATGGATTCTACAGGTAGATTTAGGTTTTCATGATTGGGAAATATTTGTCTAAGTCGAGGTTGTGAAAGTTGGAGGTATTTATCAGACGTTAAATTTCCGTTAATAAAGAAGGGACCTACAATGTGTTCATTTTTTGTGGGTACTGTGTAGGAACCGTCTCCATCCAGTGTGGATTTGGATTGGATCAGTATCTGCAATTAAAATTTAAAATAGTATACTGATAGAACCTAAAAGTAACTTTATATATTGATGCACTTTGAAAATAATGATCTCTGAAAATTAATGTGATCGTGGATTAGAAGCGGGGTGGGGTATTTTACGCTTATGTTGTGAACTTGAAAAATTACAAATCAATTAAATTTTAATTTCCATCAGTTTGCATTGACGCCAGTGTGCTTTGTTGGGATTGGTCGGCACGAGTGGGCAAATTAATGTAATCAAGTTGCATTCGATGTTTTAATTTGTGCGGTTAGGTCGTCCAAATTGCACATGTGAGAAGAAAAGTTTAATCATTTCCTGTTTTAACTGTGCTTCAGTCAGTTTTGGGTAAGAAAAGTGCCGGTGTTCTTCCATTGTGTGATAAAATGGTTTTAGATGTCCAAAATGTCAACTTTAGAATACTGTGAAGCAATCGCAGCACGTGGGAGATCTTTATGGAAAAACATTCACAACTGTAAACTATGCGTCTATTCTACAACTTCGTTTTTCTTTATGGTCAACCACATGAGACGGCACCGTTCAGCTCTGGAGGAATTTACTTGCGACAACGCCAAAATTGAAGCTTATTACTGCAAAGACTGTGATTTTAAGACGGAACTAACAATTTTGTTCAAACAACACATTTGTAAACATCACGCCCTTAAGAGAGAAACTGAAAAGGATGTATCACGTGAGAATTTCCGCATACAAAACTACGTTTGCGAAAAATGCGACTTTGAAACTAATCTCTCGTTAAAGTGGTTTCAGCGCACTTTAACTTGCACGAGAAATAAAGAAAATCTTCAAAATGTCAACTTTTCAAAAGAGAATATCACAACCAATTCCGACTTCAATCAAACTGACGAAATACATTGGCATTGCTGCGCCGAATGTCCTCACAAAAGCAAATTCAAAACATATTTAATACGTCACATTCAGGATTGCCATTTGCCGAAGCGGTATGAATGCGACAAGTGTCCATTTAAATCTAGGAGAAAAGTAAATTTAAAGCGTCACTTAAATAACTTACACTTGAACGACAAAGACGTTATATGGTACAAATGCAATGAGTGTTCTTTCAAAACTAAGAATAAAGCATCTTTAAAAAGACACGGAATAATCAAGCATATAGACGCCAGCGACGCAGAAATTACGTGGTACGAGTGTCAAAATTGTTCATACAAAACCAAACAAGCGCAGTATTTAAAAAGTTATGTAATTTATAAACATTTGAATGATGAGAAAATTAAGTGGTACAAATGTGGAGACTGTTCATTCAAAGCTAAAACAACATCTGATTTAACGAAACATGTAAAGAAGCATTGCCCATATAACTCAGTGAATAACCTTTTGGATGGAACGGAAGTGAAATGGTAACAATTGCTATTACAAAATTAAAAGTGGACCATCTTTTTAAGATCATAAAATTCAGGTGTGGGATTTTGTTGAGGCTTAGTTGAGTATGGTAGTATCACGGTGAATATATATACATCTACTTTTTGTTAGTTGGTTTTTCCTGGCATTTGATATGTTATATTTTGCGACTATCTTTTTATAAAGATTAAGAAACATTTTAAATGTTGTTTTAACATTGCATTAAGTAATGTGGTGTTCTTATTTGAGTTAAAAGTTGGCCCCGAAAAAAAAAAACAGCGGCCCGAAATTTCATTTGAATAATTTGAATTTGAAAAATGAATTAAGAAAATAGTTAAACATAGGCAACCAACAGACCTGTTTGGTTGAGATGCCTGACCTGTTTGTCTGATGTAGGTGCAACCACGCGTTAAGGATTAATATTACCTCAGTTAAGTTTATTTTGGTTTGCTTTATTTCAACGAAACGTAATCCTACTGACGGTGACGGCACAGTTTTCTCCGAGGTTTTCCCCACAAGCGTACCTGATTAACAATAATAATATTATTATTAATAATATTATAATTAATAACAACATTTTGGTCAAAATTTTGGTCTGAAGAATTTGAATTTAACCAATCTGCCAAATGGATTCCTCATATATCCCATAAACTATCCACAGTTACACCAATGACTGATCATCAGATAACACTTGCCGAATTAATAAATACCATCAATAAGACACACAATTGGAAATCACCAGGACCAGACAAAATCCATAATTTTTGGATAAAAAAATTAAATTGTATGCATATTCATTTACTACATCACTTAAATTACTTCTTGACCTATCCTCATTTCCAACATTCTTAGGTCATGGTGTAACATACCTAAAACTTAAAGATAACGACACAAAAAATCCATCAAAATACAGACCTATCACATGTTTACCGACAATCTATAAAATATTAACCTCATGCATTACACAAAAAATCCATCAACACTGTTTTAACTCTGACATCATTAATGAAGAACAGAAAGGATGTATTAAAGGATCCTTTGGTTGCAAAGAGCAATTAATCATAGATTCCATCATCTGTGAACAAGCTAGAAAAGAAAACCGAAACATATATACTGCTTTTATTGATTATAAGAAAGCTTACGATTCTGTCCCTCACTCCTGGCTATGCAAAATTCTGGAATTATACAAAATTGATACTAAAATCTGCACTTTTCTGAAATGTTCTATGGAATTTTGGAAAACCACCCTCCAAATAACCTTAAATGAACAAACAATTCAGTCAGATCCAATAATGATCCGAATAGGAATTTTTCAAGGCGATTCTCTTAGCCCGTTATGGTTCTGCTTAGCAATAACTCCCCTCCCCGGTATCCTGAACAGCTGCATTTATAGGTTCAATATAAGAATTAACAAACAAAGAGAAAACAGAATAAGTCACTTGCTGTATATGGATGACATAATAATATATGCAAGTACACAAAATCAGTTAACAAACCTATTAAATCTGACTGAACAATTTTCCGGTGATATTGGTATGTCTTTTGGTATTGAGAAATGTAAGACTCAAGCAATCAGAAAAAGCGTCCTACACCAAGTACCACATATAACCCAGAATAAGGAAATAATCGAAGCCCAAGAACGATACGATACATACAAATATCTGGGTTTCTGTCAATCCTCCCACATCAATCATCCCAAAACAAAACACAGTTGAAAGATCAATACCTACCGATATTAAAATTAATATTGAAGACACAGTTAAATGAAAAAAATTTAATGAAAGCAGTAAATACATTCTGCGTTCCACTGCTAACATATTCTTTTGGAGTCATTAAATGGTCCAAAACTGATCTTGAAAATTTAAACATCGCAACAAGGAAAATCTTCACACAGTATAGAAGGCAACATCCAAAATCGTCCATTGAAAGATTCTCATTACCAAGACAGAATGGAGGAAGGGGTTTCCAGAACCTAGAAAACTTATATCAGAGACAAATCTCAGATCTGAAGAAGTATTTCTTGAAACGAGCAGAAAGAAATGAAATGTTTCGCACCATCACAAGAGCAGATTTGAACCACACACACTTAAATCTGTCGAACACCGAAGAAATCCAGACCCCCCACACAATAGACAAAATAATAAGTGGGCTAAAACAAAAGCAACTACATGGAAAATTCTACAAAGACTTAGAAGAAACTCATGTCAACAAGAAGATGTCATTGATTTGGTTAAAAAATTCAAGTTTGTATGCCGAAACAGAAGGATTTGTGTTTGCTATTCAAGACCAAGTAATCAATACCAAGAATTACAGAAAATACATCATCAAAGATCCGAATATAAGAAACGACTGCTGTCGCCTCTGCAAAGCAAAACCTGAAACGATCCAACACATAATCTCCTCCTGCAGCATCCTGGCACAAACTACTACAAAGCTAGACACGAAAACGCAGCCAAAATCATTCACAAAGAATTAGCAACACTTATGAACTTAATCGAAGATACGACACCCTATTACACTTACATTCCATCTCCGCTCCTTGAAAATAACAAATAATACAAATTATACTGGGATCGCACAATACTTACAGACTTAAACATTACAGCTAACAGACCAGACATCATACTTATCAAAAAACACACGAACGAAGCCATTCTCATTGACATTGCTATTCCTAACACAAACAACATTATTCAAATATACCACACCAAGATATCAAAATGTCTACAATTATCGTTAGAAATGAAATCCATGTTGAATCTTAAAAAAAATTCAATTCTACCCTTAGTTATCTCTAATGTAGTTGTAGTCCCAAATAGCTTAGTTGAGAATTTAAAGTCTTTGCATTTGAATGATTCAATAATTCTCAAAATTCAAAAAGCTGTTTTGTTAGGAACATGTCATATTGTTCGTAAGTTTCTCGAACAGTCTGATCATGTCAGTCAGATTAGATTAGCACCAGTAGATCAGAGTAGTGTAGGTCACTTTCCAAGTAATGCGCGCATAAATTATCGGTAGTTACGCTAGACTTTTGGGGATGGGGTGAGATTAGATCAATGCATATCATTACTACTTGGTCTTAATACCCGTGATGATAGACGTCTTGCCTGAATGCCGGTCATTTCCGGGTCAGTGGGGGGTCTTAAACAATAATAATGGTTTATTGCCCAACAGACTTACATCCAGTTATAGGGCAAATTACATATAATTCTAAGGTCTAAATTGAAGTAAACTAAACTAAGTTAAACTAAAAAACTAAATAATTAGTCTAAAAAAAGACACATAAATGTTAAGTTCTTCGCCAAGGCTGTTACCAATCTGTGACAATTTATATATTGGAGCATTAAAAAGAACATTTGAACTAGCTCTGGGACAATTAAATGTACAGTGATAGCGACTATGTAAACGGGGTACATTGATACATAGGCAGCCAATTATGTAAATGGCGTCTATATCGTTTTGAAGGACCTTATATAAAAATTTTATTGCAGACATTTTACATCGACATTCTAGGGTATCTAGTGAACACGAATTTAAAATCTCCTTATAATCAAAACCCCTAGAGGGAAAGGGACCTGTGCTAAGATGAAATAAATGTTTTGCTGAACGTTTTCAAGATTTAATTTTTGATAAGCATAATAGGGAGACCATATTAGGGACAGTACTCTAACTTGGAGCGTACAAGTGCTATATATAAAGTCCTTAGGGCTACAGGATTACTCAAGCACCTACATGTTCTGACAATAAAACCTAAAAGTTTAAGAGAAGACGCTACTAGGTCATTTATATGAGGGTGGAAAGATAAGATACTGTCAAATCTTACACCTAGATCTCGGATTTCAGTTGTACGTTGCAAGTTCACACCTTTTAAGCAGTAGTCGAAGTGAACTGATTTGTCGGTGCGCTTAAATGTTAAAACTGCAGTCTTCTTATTGTGATAATGAATGTGTTGTTTACTTGTTAACCCTAGCAAAAGAACCAATTTTAAAATCATTATAACTCCACCAAAATGTGAGAAGGAATTTTTTTACTATTTTTCCCAGACTCACCAGTTGATTGTTAAGAGCGTAGCGGAGAGTTAATCCGCCATTTTCCAGATACCAAAAGTGTGCAGAGCCTTCTCAACGTCCAACTTGTCTATGTTTGAAAGATGAACGCAGGACGCAGGCACTGCCATACTATCAGAAGAGACAGGAGTACCCGCAGACGAAGTGTTATATACACTCTGAAAATATTTTGCAAAGCCTGAGACAATATCTAAAGTCCCAAAATTTCGTTGGATCCTTACCCAGCGATTGTCTTACACTGTTCAGGTAATCGTCGTAGTCACGGTTAGTTATTAATTTTGCCATTTTTCGCAATCTAATCAATTCATCTTTATAACGGATAGCCTTGCATTTTTTGTATTTTCGCCTAAAATTATTCTTAAGCTTAAAAGTCATTCTTAATTCAGTACTATACCACTTGGGAAAGTTTTTGCTGCCAGATGTAAATTTGGGTACGCAAGAATCAACAGTGTCATATATTTTATCATAAAAAGTTTTACATGCCAAATTAACATCTTTGAAACTATATAAGGACCAATCTGTAGCAAATAAGCTAGAGTATAGAACCGGAAACTTTGCTTTGCGAAAATTGTAGTTATTATGACCTGAATGTTTTGAAAATTTGACGAACAGCGCTTACTTAAGAATCATATTTATAACAAAAGCCGGATGATGACTATCCTCCCTTAAAATGGGCTCATCTTCCTTGAAGACAACGCATTTACCTACATTAGTAAATACTAGATCTAACATTACCTTATGCGAGTTCAATATGTGGTTGCAGTGGCGCAAACCTGAGAAATTCATGAAATTAGTATAAAAAGTATTTACCTACTTTACTCAAACAGTTTGCAAATTCCGGAAAATTAAAGTCTCCTCTTGTTGATTGCTTATAAATTCACCGTTCATGTTAGGATTTTTAACCGTTCGTGATTCAACTTAATACAAAATAACAGTCATGAAAATTGTTATTATACTCCACGCAATCTCTCAACATTTTACATTTTATTTTTCTTGTTTGAAACCGAAGAAGTCACCAAATTTATTCTATTGTTCATCTAAGGGTATAGACAGTTTTCCGTACTTAAATATTATTTAAATTTAATAGATTCTTTTTTGGAAGTTTTAAAATATTAATTGGCATTATTCATAATTTAGTTTTACGCATTGATTTGACTCTCTTAGAAAATGAACAGTGAAGTAAATGTCGTTGTGAATTCGAAGAAGGAAAGGAGATTTTGTGCTGACATTGTGTTATGTTTTATTTGTTCTTTGACTTCAACTTTGGAACATTTACACCCCGACACGCCTCTCAAAGCGACGTGTGTACCGGACGACATTTTGTGTTTTCGGCGATATTTAACATATGTTTTATGTATGTATTTTGCTTTATTAAATTCCGATGGCGAGAGTCCAGACTGATAATTTTCCTTTCATTTATATTACTTTTTATTCGTAACACCGGATTCCGCCATCGTGAGATACTCGGAGAGTGTCCGGCTGGGAGAAGAAACTCTGCTGAAGCTAGCCAAAGCTCTTGGTCAAGCATTCAATATACTTGCGGAATAAAAAGCTTGAAGCAACTACTGCAGGCGCCATCGGACACAGTAGGCATAGCGGGCGTTTGCGAGGACACCGCGGCATGGCTGTACGTAGCTGTGGTTAGTTTGAAGAGACAGTCAAAGACCGGATCTGGAACCATTAGCGCTACACGTTCCACGTCTCTTAAACTGTTGAATCATGTCCTTTTTCCTCTGACTGCCAATAAAACAAAAACAAAAATTTGCCAACACCCCACGATAATAATGTGTGCAAGGCCATTCGTTCACTTTAGGTGCGATATTGCAGACTAGAGAACTTTGTACATTTAACAAGATCGAAATTTATAGGTAGTCGTACATTTGAAAAGAACAAGTAGATTTTATAGTAGAGAGAATACAACTTTTTGACGCCATATTGTTGTATCGTAAATTCAAGGCACTTTAGCGGTCCACCACTTGCATTAGAACACTTTCCGCCATTTCAAAACACAACGTAGGGTTCCATGTGTTGAGGATCACCGTTGATGACTATCATTTCAAAATTTGCACGGGTTTGGGTTAGCAAATTATCATCACAATACTCCTAATATTATAATAACCTACAAGTAAATACTTTTGTATCTAGCTTTTACTGTTTCTCAGAATTATTCAGCGCCTCCTTCAAAAATTGGTCAATCCGTTTTTACAGAAAACCCTTGATTTTTTGAATGTATAAAATTCACTTTGTCGTTTTTGATATGCCCGTAACTTTGAATATGTCGACGTTTTGGTAATTAACTGTATAGTTATGAGGTGAAAGGTTATGTTAAATTTTGTTTGTTGCAATTTATTTTTAATGAGCTCCGACGGCAGCTTGTGTAACTAGTGTAAAGGCAGTTTATTAACAAGAAAATACTCGGTTATTTCACACCACTAGTTCTGGATGTTTTCCATAAGTTATGATTTCCGTTTGTAACTTCTCACCCGACTTTATTATTTTATATGTAAATAAAAATTTTATCTAAAAATTGTCCAAGCTCAAAACTGAAAAATTTGAAGTTGAAACTTGGAAAAATTGCAACAAATATCAAAAATAAAAATGAAGGTCTCAAGAACATTTAAAAAAAACAAAAATCGATGTCAGTTAGAAAATGTGCTTAGACAATTTAATTTGCACTAATTTGAATTTGACGCCAATGTGTTTTGTTGTGATTGGTCGGCACGATTGCAGAAATTAATATAATCTATTGCACTAGGGATTTTAATTTGTGCGGTTATGTTTGTTCTGGTTACAAGTGTGTAAAGAAATATTTCATTCTTTCCGGTTTTAACTGTGTTCTGACGGGATTTGTGTAAGAAAAATGCCAGTATTCTTCCACACAGTGATAAACTGGTTTTAGGTGGCCAGAATATCGGCTTTGGAATATTGTGAAGCAATCGCAACAGGTGGGAGGTCTCTATGAAAAAACACTTGTAAACTATGCCCTTATTCTTCAACCTGTCTTTTCCTTATGGCAAATCACGTGAGACGACACTGATTCTTCCTGGAAACATTTGCTTGTGACAACGCCAAGATGGAAGTTTTTCACTGTAAAGACTGTGATTTTAAGACGGAACTGCCACTTGTGTTTAAACAACACATTAATAAACATGATGGCCCTAAGAGAGAATCAAGTGAGGAAACATCTAGTGAGGAAACATCTAGTGAGGATTCCCGCAAAGAAAACTACGGTTGCGCCAAATATTACTTTGAGCCAAATTTGTCGTTAAAGTTGTTTCAGCATACTTCAGCATGCACGGAAACGAAAGAAAATCCTCAAAGTGTGAATTCTTTGAAAGAGAGTGCCACATACAGTTCCGACATCAAACAAACTGACGAAATACTGTATTATTGCGACAAATGTCTCTACAAATGTAAAATAAAAAGTAATTTAATTCGTCACATTAGAGTTCTCCATTTGCACAGGGGGTATGCATGCGACAAATGTCCATTTAAAACTAGATATAAATCCACTTTAAAAATTCACATAAATAGAATCCACTTAGATGAACAAGATGTTGAATGGTACAAGTGCCAAAAATGTCCATTCAAGGCCAAAGCAAAATATACTTTAAGACAACACACTTTGAGCTTACACTTCAACGACGAAGAGTGGTATAAATGCAAAAAGTGTTGTTTCAAAACTAAGTATAAAGAATACATAAAGGTACACCTACGTGTGAAACATCTAGACGAAGAAAAAATTAAATGGTACGAATGTGAAAATTGCCCATTCAAAGCCAAACTGCCATCGTACTTAAAAAATTCGGATGAAAAAGAAGGTAAATGGTACGCATGTACGACCTGTTCATTTAAAAGTAGATGTGGGTCTATTTTAAGGAGGCATTTGAAGATCCATTCGAAGATCAAATCGTATCAGTGCGACTATTGTTCATTTAAGACGAAACACCATTATTCTTTACAGCGTCATATAAATACTCGTCATAAGAATGGAACGGATGTTAAGGAGTAAGGCTTTTAATAAATTGAATGTATATGTAGGTACCTAAATTTTTGTGTAGCCAATAATTTTTTTATCCTTTGTGTCAACACTCCATGATATGTTAAATTTTGTGACTATATTTTCGTCCACATTTTGAATTAATTATTTGTTTTTGTGTTATGTACATTAAATAAATACGACAACGTTTGGTAAACTGAAAAACGCTCATCTATTATTGTTGTCATTGATCGATTCACTTTTTGAGATCATGTGTATCAGAAATATATGTTTGGAGACAAACTTTTAAATAATTTATCAGTTTGTTTTCGTTGATTAACGATAACGTAATGACGTGACAAAAACAAAGGGAATAGATATCATCATCCTCTGCCAAATTGTTATTTATCAAAAAATCTAGATATTATTTTTAATGTAAAAATATTAGCTTAGGGTCAGTCTGTGTGAAATCAACCAAGCATTAAAAGTTATTAAAAAATTAAATTAAAAAACAACATACAGGTCGCTAAAAAGTATGGAAGCAGTTCTATATAGCGAGAACCATTTGCTATTTTTTTTTTTTAATTTGGGCTTAGGAATAATCAAGTTCTATTGTCTGCAATTTTTTAGAATTTTATACTTCATTTGTTTATGAGACGCAGAGCTAACATGATTTTTTTTAATAGCACTGAATTCAGAAATGTAACGCATGCATTATTTTATTTTTTCTCAACATCGCAGCTAGGTTTGACAATACTATCACCTGTCATAGTCCTGGCGCAGGACACTTTATTCAAAAATTATACTAGTGCCCAATGATTGTAAAAATAATAGAACTGAGGGTACGTAACCTGAAATAAAGGTGCCAGCGTAACAGATTGATTTAAATGCTGTTTCCAAATAATTTTGACTAAATAGTGAATACATTGTTGTTAAAGCTTTTTAAAAATTTAAATAAAAAATTACATGGTTGAAAAAATATCAACTTAAGATTTAAAAAACAATAATTTTACATCAAATGTTCAAAATGTTCTGCATTGGAATATAGGGTAGTAAGATTTCTTACTTCTTGTTTTGGTTACCTTAAATCCATGCGTTGAAAGCTCACATAGTTTAGTGTATAAAAATGGAACAAAAAAAAATAAAAACTGGACCATCTTTTGATAAACACAATAAAATCATGTGAGGAATTTGGTTGAGGCTTAGTTCGGAGTGCTAGTGTTACGTTAAATGTACGTAAGTCAATTTTTTTTAGTTAGTATTTTTTTTAGTATTTGTGTTAATGTGATATATATATATATATATATATATAATGTTTTTTGACACTTTTCATTAAGATTATGAATAAAAAATAATTTAATGTTCGATGTTTTTATGTTACAATTATAATATTAATATATAATATACTAGCTGACCCCGTGAACTCGGTTTCACCCAAAATTTAATTTTGAATCTGGAAAATCGAATGCTTTGAAATCTTGCAGATGTTTTAAACATATGATAAGCATAATAAATTTGTATTCAAAATATATTTACTTTTCGCCTCCAAAAAATTGATGACGTCAGCCCAAAATTTTGCCAAATGAATCCTATCTAAAATGTCCAAAATAGGATGAGGCTATACTTGTGATTTATCATTCCATTCATATTTTTTAGTTTTGCTTATAGGGGGTGTCTCAAAAAAATTAATCACTGAGTTAATTTATTTTATTGACTGAATCAAGAATTGCAAAACTGAATTTTGAAATATTGCAGACGTTTTAAAGTTATTGTAAGCATGGTAAATTGTTAAGAATATTTATTTATTCCCCCCAAAAAATTGATGGAATGGCTCACTCGATTTTCGCAGATAATTTTGGGAATACAATACAGTTATTTTTAGTATTACACTGCACCAATCCAAGGTGGTATACGTGTTGATAGTAAATGTTTATTAGGTCATCACAAAATTGTGTAAAGAAAAGACTCAACTCGAAAATGCTGAATATGTTTCATTATACTTTTGGTGCGAAGGAAGTTCTGTCGAAACAACGTTCGATCAATTTTTTGACAATGGTTGATATAAATAAAACTCAGTAGATGCTCATACTCGAAATACGAAGTATCTACTCGAATATCAAATCAAAATATTTCTAGTTTTTCTAGATGATACTAATACTTCAGTAAGTAACAGTTGATGCTCAAGTAGCATTTCGATACAACAAAAAAGGACAACAGTGACAGTGTTCAACCATCAAGGCAAAAATCGAGTCACCAAATATAAGTTAGTATGGGGTAGACACCTTGAGATGGAAATCTCTATGGCCAGTGTTAGAAAAACGCACTGCACAATTTATGCATAAATAAAAGTTAATTACATGAAAAGTTTTCGATATTCCTGCTCCTAATGTGTTTTTCAAACTGAATGCACCTTTTGACGACTTTCCACGTTCATGAAAGTCACCATGTTTAGTTAAAATTCACTCTTACAACGATCCTACTGGTTTTCTAAGCTGCTTTACAGACAGCTCAGTTATTTGTCACGCCGATGCTCATTTCTAGAATAAATGCTCACAAAACGCGTAGATGTTCAGTTTGTGTCCGTGGAGATACAATGTTTCCAAGTAGGTACTCAGTACATAGAGCTCAGGTACTGTAACCGTATTCGAGATATACCCATATAAATTTTTATGGGACCAATCACTCAAAAATTGGTTCTCCTGAAACCGCAACCATAAATTATGAAAAGGGCTTCACAGGTCATTTTATACAGATCCGTATTCGGGTTGTGTTGAAAGTTTTACCTGCTTTCGGTAATGTTATAGATATAATATTAGAAAATATAATAATCGTCCAGAAAGTTCTCCTGCTGTAGTAAATCTCATTAGACAACAATCAGAACTCATATCTTCTGAAAAATGGCAGAATTGTATTCGGCATGTTATAAAAGTTGAATCAACATTTGTAAATCCACGGCCTAACGAAATTATAATTTCAATAAATAACGACTCATCTGAGTCTGAAAGTGACCTATAATGTTATAAATATTATTTAACTAATACAATTTGTCTATTATTTCACCTTATTTTTTTAACAGAGTACGGCCCTGAAAAATTCTGCCGGAACGTGCCGATATCTGGTCGCATAGGGTGTTAAAAGCAATAAATTACTGTTGCATTGTGCAGGGGTTTCACTCATTATCTGTCATAAAGTTTTATGTGGGTGTATCTCGAATGAAATTTGTATATATAAGAGTAATAATGAAGTAGGTACTTCGTATTTCGAATATGAGTATCTACTCAGTTTTATTCATACCACCCAATGTCTCGCTTCTATGTTTGATTATTTTGATTATGAGTACATACAACGCTGATCAACTTCCATATCCGAATTCCCCATGAAATAAATCATTGCGTTTTGCACCTGAGGTAGTTCGTCGCACATTTGATTGACTTCGTGGACCTATGTGAGCTTGTCGTCTTCTCGGCATTTTAATGAACTTCATAAAACGACACAGAATTATTTTCACAGTCAATCAAATCTGTAAATTTTGTCTTGAGAATTTTAAAATATTGAAAACTTCAAATTAAATCCTTGAATAACGGTAAAGTTTGAGGTTTTGTCGAAACCAACAAAGTGAGTATAGGTAAATAAAATGGCAGATCAAAATGAATAAGAAACTTTCGCAATGTGTAATTAAATTCACTTTAACCAAGACTTTTCTTAAAATAAACGACGTTTTCACGATTTCTGAGAATATATCACGATAAATTATTCTTCCGAGGGATGTAAAAATATTCATTTTATTGCCCAAGATTTACACTTAAACATATCGGCACATTCTAGGGCAAAACGGACCTGCCAAGCCCGCCTTGCGTTAGGTCCAACAATGAAAAAGTGAAGAAATGATACATGTGGCAACAGGAAAAGATGCTACATTTGTCTGAAAAATAAAGGTATAAAACAGTAACAAATATGCGATTTATGCGAGAGAAATGTATGTATTGAACATTCGATTAGTCGATTACAGAACTAATTTGTGCTAATTGAAAAAATTAATCATTATGTAACACGCAATTATTATTTTCTAAAAATAATAACATACCTTAAACCTTATTAAAATTACTCTTATTTAATAACACAAATACAACCAGCGGCCCTACTGGACCCGGGTTGCTCAGGTACCCAGATAAAATTCATAGCCCCGATAAGCGTAAAACGCAGTGAATTGTGGTTTATGGTTTTTAAAATACCATCTTACCATGGCTTAGATTTATTACTCCTCAGGATTATATTTAAAGATGTATAAGTACTGAAGGCTACAATGTAGGAAATGATGGTATTTAAAATATGAAAATTTCCGTGACAGAACACTATTAGCGGACCTCTTACCTCTATTTTTGTTTATGTGACCAAAATCACCAACATGAAGTATCAAAAATTACTACTAGTATAACTCAACTAATAACTACTGAAAAAGAAGTGAAATAAAAAATGTATCTGTATCTGCGCCATTAATTTTGTATTTAGATACAGATATTTTGTGCTTAAATTCGATTTTATCTAGATACAGATACTAGATACCCAAAAATGTATCTAGATACTTTATTTAGATACAAATATCTAGATACTGCCCAACACTGTTAATGACCATATCTCAAGATCTCGCTAGCAATTTAGACAATGGCTATCAAACCGATGTTGTGTACACAGATTTTTCAAAAGCATTTGATCGTTTGGACCACGGTATTTTGCTGCGAAAGCTCTTAGAATTTGCTTTTTTTGAAAAAATATATTTACTTTTCGCGAGTTACTCGTACATTACTGAACGTAAATGCTACGTTGAATGTTGTGGCTTCCGTTCATCCAATTTCACTGCTACCTCAGGCGTTCCTCAAGGCTCCGTTCTTGGGCCCCTAATTTTTAACATTTTCATAAATGACATTGCCAATGATATCAGTTCTTCTGTTCTTCTGTACGCTGACGTTATGAAACTATATCGTCGCATTACTAGCATTCAAGACTGTCTAGTTTTGCAATCAGATCTAGATAAGGTACATTCGTGGTGTTCAAAGAATGTTCTTCAATTAAACTATAAGAAGTTTACCTTATTAAGAGTTTTGATAGATTTTAACTACATCCTCAATAACAATATTATTTTGCGACAATCTCAGGTAAAGATCCTAGGCGTTATTTTTGATAAAAATCTGTCTTTCACAAATCATGTTAATACTATTATATCGCAAGCACTAAAAATATTTGGTTTTATAGTTAGGAATTGTACTGATGTAAAAAGTGAAACACCCTTTAAATTGCTCTATTATTCCCTGGTTAGGAGCAAACTTGAGTATGCGGCAATTGTGTGGTATCCACATTACAGTACACATTTCATGGAAATAGAAAGAGTACAAAGAAGGTTTCTAAAGTATTTAAATTTTAAGATGTTTCATATATATCCACCGCGTCGATTCCCACAAGGAGAGTTGCTCTCGAAGTTTTCTATGTTAAGCATTGGCGATAGAATAAACACTGCTTATGTGCGGTTTTTTGTAAAACTAATTAATAATTACATCAGCTGTCCATATTTGTTAAACTTATTTACTTTTAGTCGTTCAAAGGTTATGGTTAGAAGGCGGAATATTTTATACCAGAGCAGAGCTAGAACCAATATCATGAAATATTCTCCTATTAATAATATTTGTAATGCCGTAAAGAACTTTCATAATATATGATATATTTTCCTGTAAGCAGGCAGACATCACAAATTTTGCATCCAGGAGGCACTTACAACACAACACATAATTACAGAGCGTCAGAATTTTGTTCTATTCTATTTGATAATGACTGTTGGCTTCGGATCTTAGGTTGTTTGCCTTTTTATTTAAAAACTTTTTAACATATATTTTATAATTTACAGATAATTAAACAAATTAGAAATTCAATTGGCAATAATGATATATGGATTCGCGTCGATGAGACGACGGACAGGTTCGGAAGATACATAGCCCATAATTGGAAAGTTATCTTCTGAAAAAGCTGACCGTCAATTTCTACTAGCTTTGAGCAGCTTGACAAAACTAATAGCAACACAATCTCGAGATTTATAAACCAATCACTGGGTGTGCTGTTGATAATTTTAAGCATTGAAATTATTATAATTTATTTAATTGTTAATTTATAACTTTATCGTGGCTAAAAGGAACTGAATACAAAAAAGTTAAATGGTTTGTGTCAGATGGTGCTTCATATATGATCAAAACTTGTACTAATTTGAAGGTGCTTTATGAAAATATAACACACTTAACATTTATGGCACATGGGTTACATTTAGTGTGTCTGAAACAATTATACTGAATTATCCAAATGTCAATGGGATAATTAGCAATGTTAATAAAATCTTTTTAAAAGCACCAATAAGAGTAGAGTTTTATAAAAACAGTTAACCAAATACACCTCTCCCACCTGAACCTGTATTAACCAGGTGGGGCACTTGGATTCAAGCAGCATTGTTTTATGCAGAACACTTTGATTTTTTAAAACAAGTCAGTAAATATATAATGGTTGTTTACTATCATTCTTATATTGAATATTTTTAGGTTGTAACGTCATTTGAAGCCACAGATGCACAAATCATTAAAAAAGCTTAAGAATTCCAGAATAAAGCAAACGTTAAAAATGAACTCTTTGTTAGGAAACATAGATGGAGCGCGTGTTCAGCGGTAGTCTGCGCGACTGCGCCAGCGATGACGTAGCTATGACGAGGACGAACGTCACACAAAAAAATGGCTGGTCGGTTGTCCGCGAGCGTGTGTTTAAGTTCACCGTAATGTATATTTACTTGTGTTTGTGTAATAAATGTGTTAACTGTTGTTGGTGTTTTCGTTACACGTGCCTTATATAACTAACACTCTTGTGCATTAAAACTCACTTTAAAATTATTGCTGATGCAAGAGAACAATTAGAAACTATAGGTTTAAAAGTAAACCAAAGTATGGAAATTGTGAAAAAAATGTGTATATCTTTAAAAAACACACCAGGAAAGGTGGGGGAAATGGCGTTCAAAAATTATGCTCTCTATTAAAAATGAATCCAGGATACGGTTTTATATGTTGAGTAAATAACGTAATGTGCGGTAATGTAAATGCTACCAACAGTACATACTTAAATGAAAACGTAGATGGTTCAATATTTAATTTTGCATCCATCACTTCTTGTGATGTGGAACGCACGTTTTCAAAACTTAAAAGTATTTTAAGCGATCAAAGGTGTAAATTTACAGTCGAAAATTTCGAGAAATATATAGTTTGCTTTTGTAACTCATTTTAAATACCTGAATTAATACTTTATTTTTTGTCAAATGCGACTTGCTTTAATTTGATCGCCATTTTTTGCGATTACTTAGCATTAGTGGCAGTTTGTGTAACTAGTGTAAAGGCCGTTTATTAACAAAAAATACTCGGTTATTTAACACCACTAGTTCTGGATGTTTTCCATAAGTTATGATTTCCGTTTGTAACTTCTCAGCCGACTTTATTATTTTATATGTAAATAAAAATTTTATCTAAAAATTGTCCAAGCTCAAAAGTGAAAAATTTGAAGTTGAAACTTGGAAAAATTGCAACAAATATCAAAAATAAAAATGAAGGTCTCAAGAACATTTAAAAAAACAAACATCGATGTCAGTTAGAAAACGTGCTTAGACAATTCAAATTTGCACTAATTTGAATTTGACGCCAATGTGTTTTGTTGTGATTGGTCGGCACGATTGCAGAAATTAATGTAATCTATTGCACTGGGGATTTTAATTTGTGCGGTTATGTTTGTTCTAGCTACAAGTGTGTAAAGAAATATTTAATTCTTTGCGGTTTTAACTGTGTTCCAACGGGATTTGTGTAAGAAAAATGCCAGTATTCTTCCACACAGTGATAAACCGGTTTTAGGTGGCCAGAATATCGGCTTTGGAATATTGTGAAGCAATCGCAACAGGTGGGAAGTCTCTATGAAAAAACATACACACTTGTAAACTATGCCCTTATTCTTCAACCTGTCTTTTCGTTGCGACAAACCACGTGAGGCGACACTGATTCTCCCTGGAAACATTTACTTGTGACAACGCCAAAATGGAAGCTTATCACTGTGAAGACTGTGATTTTAAGACGGAATTGCTATTTGTGCTTAAACAACACATTAATAAACATCACCGCCCTCAGAGAGAATCTAGTGAGGAAACATTTAGTGATGAAACATCTAATGATGAAACATCTAGTGATGAAACATCTAGTGAGGATTCCAGCAAAGAAAACTACGGTTGCGCCAAATATTACTTTGAGCCAAATCTGTCGTTAAAGTTGTTTCAGCATACTTCAGCATGCACGGAAACGAAAGAAAATCCTCAAAGTGTGAATTCTTTGAAAGAGAGTGCCACATACAGTTCCGACTTCAACCAGACTGACGAAATACCTTGGTATTATTGCGACAAATGTCTCTACAAATGTAAAATCAAAACAAATTTAACTCGTCACCTTAGATTTTTCCATTCGCACAGGTGGTATGCATGCGACAAATGTCCATATAAAACTAGATATAAATCCGCTTTAAAAATTCATATAAATAGAATACACTTAAATGAACAAGATGTTGAATGGTACAAGTGCCAAAAATGTCCATTCAAGACCAAAACAAAATATAATTTAAGACAACACACAAAGAACTTACACTTCAACGACGAAGATGTTAAGTGGTACAAATGCAAACAGTGTTGTTTCCAAACTAAGCATAAAGAATACATAAAGGTACACCAACATGTGAAACATCTAGACGAAGAAAAAATTAAATGGTATGAATGTGAAAATTGCCCATTCAAAGCCAAATTTGCATCGTACTTAAAAAGACATGTACTTATTTATCATTCGGATGAAAAAGAAGGTAAATGGTACGCATGTACGACCTGTTCATTTAAAAGTAGATGTGGGTTTGATTTAAGTAAGCATTTGATGATCCATTCGAAGATCAAATCGTATCAGTGCGACTATTGTTCATTTAAGTCGAAATACAATTATTGTTTAAAGCGTCATATAAATAATCGTCATAAGAATGGAACGGATGTTAAGGAGTAAGGCTTTTAATAAATTGAATGTATATGTAGCTAAATTTTTGTTTAGCAATAATGTTTTTATCCTTTGTGTCAACACTCCATGATATGTTAAATTTTGTGACTATATTTTCGTCAACATTTTGAATAAAAAAAAATCAATTAATTATTTGTTTTTGTGTTACGTACATTAAATAAATACGACAACGTGTGGTAAGCTGAAAAACTATTATTGTTGTCATTGATCGATTCACTTTTTGAGATTATGTGTATCAGAAATATATGTTTGGAGACAAACTTTTAAATAATTTATCGGCTTGTTTTCGTTGATTAACGATTAACCTAATGGCGTGACAAAAACAAAGGGAATAGATATGATCATCCTCTTCCAAATTGTTATTTATCAAAAAATCGAGATGTTATTTTTAATGTAAAAACATTTGCTTAGGGTCAATCTGTGTGAAATCAACCAAGCATTAAAAGTTATTAAAAAATTAAATTAAAAAACAAAAATCGGAAAGTCGAAAAGCCGAAGAACATTAAAAAAATCTTAATTTGGACAAATTTATTTTTACGCCTACGTGCTTTGTCGCGATTGGTCGGCATGGATGCGAAAATTAATGTAATCTATTTGTCCTGGCGGTTTTAATTCGTGAGGTTATGTTCGGCCGAATTGCACGTGCGGAAAGAAAATTTTAATCTTTCTCGGTTTTAACAGTGCTTCCACAAGCTTTGGGTAAGAAAAGTGCCAGTATTCTTCCATTGTATGAAAAAACGATTCTAGGTGTACATGTCATCTCTGGAATACTGTCAAACAATCACAACACGTGGGAGATCACAACGTTCACAACTGTAAATTATGTCCATATTTTACAACTTCGCTTTTCATTATGGCGAACCACATGAAACGACACTGATTCCACCTGGAAACATTTACTTGTGACAACGCCAAAATGGAAACTTATCACTGTAAAGACTGTGATTTTAAGACGGAAGTGCCACTTGTGTTTGAACAACACATTAGTAAACATCACGGCCCTAAGAGAGAATCTAGTGAGGAAACATCTAGTGAGGATTTCCGGCACTACGGTGGCATAAAATATTACTTTGAGCCAAATCTGTCGTTGAAGTCGTCTCAGCATACTTCAGCATGCACGGAAACGAAAGAAAATCTTCCAAGTGTGAGTTCTTTGAAAGAGAGTGCCACATACAATTCCGACTTCGAACAAACTGACGAAATGCTGCATTCTTGTGCCGAATGTCCATTCAAATGTAAATTCAAAAAATATTTAAATCGTCATATTAAGGTTTTCCATTCACACAAGTTGTATACATGCGACAAGTGTAGATTTAAAAGCAGATGGGAAGGAAATTTAAAACGCCACATAAATAACATACACTTAAACGACAACGACAAATGGCACAGATGCAGTCAGTGTCCTTTCAAAAGTAAGTTTGAAGCAACTATTAAAAGACACGCAATGGTCCACCATCTAGACGCCGGCGAGGCAGAAATGGCCACTTAATTTCTAGTGCCAAAATTGTTCCTACAGAACCAAACAAGCGAGGTATTTAAAAAGTCAATTCATTTATAAACATCTGAATGATGAGAAAATTAAGGGGTACAAATGTGGAGACTGTTCATTCAAAGGTAAAAACAAAGTGTGATCTGACTTGACAAGGCAAGCAAAAATTCGTTTGAAGATCAAATAGTATCCGTGTGTTTATTGCTCATATAACGCAGTGAATATTTAAAGCGTCATTTGAGTAAACAACCATTTGGATGAAACTGAAGTTATGTGGTACCAACTGTCCTTACAAGATTAAAAGTAGTACATCTTTTTATGAACCGAAAAACACGTGTGGGATTTAGTTGACGTTTCGTTTAATGTAGCAGTATTTTGTTGAGTGTACTCGTATATACTTCTATTTTTTGTTAGTTCGTTTTTTCTAGCATTTGTGTCAAGACTCTGTTATGTGTTATTTTTTGTGACCATCTTTTTATTGAGATTATGATTATATACATTCTAAATATTTTTTTTACATGACAAACATTAAATAATTTGATAGATTTGATTGTGGGTGGTATATATTCCTCCTGCATCACCACTTTCCATTTATGAGAAATACTGCATTGATCTGGAGTCAATCTTTGATCGTTTCCCCAACTCATCTTACATAATCGCTGGAGATTTTAATCTCCCCGATCTTATCTGGAACGGAGATGATGTTAGCTGTTCTTCAGCAGGAATATTGCGATGCTATAAGCTCAACTTCTGCGCTTTTGAACCCTAAACAAATTAACATGATTCCTAACAGTCGAAACGTTTTTTTGGATTTAATATTTTCAAATGTGGTTGATATACAAGTTTCGCCTGCGCTAGACATTCATCATACTCTTTGTTCATGACAGATGTCCACCAGTATTGCATTATCATTACGCTTCGAATTTTATTTTTATGATTTTGCAAAAGGCGATATAACCTCTTGAATGGATATTTTGCTTCAATTTGTTGGGATTTTTTATTGACTAGTACTAATCTTGATGAGAAAGTGTCAGTCTTCTATGACATTCTATTTTTTGGTTTTGAAAAATATATCCCATATAAAACGGTAAAGCATAATGCCCTAAATTATCCTATTTGGTTTAATAAGGAGCTTAAAGATCTTTGTAGAAAGAAAAGATCAGCACATTCTAAATATAAAGAATCCGGCAAATTTGAATATTATCTTTACTTTAAATTGTTAAGATCGCAGTGTAAGGAACTTAGCAAAAAACTCTATGATTTATACATTTCCAACGTTAATGCTAGTATTTTTAATAACCCTACATTTTTTTGGAAATTTATTCGTGACAAGAAAAGGAATGCTAGTACTTTCCCAAAAGAAATGTCTCTGGATCAGCCTTCAGTAAAAGGGGGTTATGAAATTGCAAGTTTGTTTGCTGAATATTTTTCTTCAGTTTATATTGTGGATGATAACCGTAACTTTAATTGTGATTTTGATTCTGTTTGTCAAGTTAATGAGGCCGGTCTAACAATTAATCTCCTTGATATTTTTATGCATATTTCTAACTTGAAGTCGTCTTGTAGTTCGGGTCCAGATGGCGTTCCGCGTATAGTCCTTAAAAATTGTATATATACATTGTGTAGACCTTTGTTCACTTTATTCAAAAGTTCGTTAAATGAAGGTGTTTTTCCGAAACTGTGGAAAAGAAGTTATATTGCGCCTATATTTAAATCGGGACAGCGAGATAAAATCAACAATTACAGAGGTGTCTGTAATCAATCCGTTATTCCTAAGATGCTTGATTCTATTGTAACTACCCAGTTGCAATGGGCATCTGGGTCGGTAATTTCTTATAAACAACATGATTTTTGCCCTAGTAGATCAACATTGTCCAATCTTATTGAATTTAAGACGTTCCTAAATGAAGCACTCGCTAATCGGTTTCAAGTTGACTCCGTGTATACGGACTTCGAGAAAGCTTTTGATCGTGTGAATCATCGTTTACTTATCATGAAATTACACAGATTAGGCTTCAATAACAAAACGGTTCGGTGGTTATCTTCATTTTTGATTGGCAGATCTCAACAAGTTCGCATAATTCGACTCCTTTTTGCGTCACATCTGGTGTTCCTCAAGGCACACACTGTGAACCTGTTCTTTTTTTGTTATTTATAAATGATTTGACTTGTGGCTTCCGTAAATTCTAATTAGTTGTTGTATGCAGATGGCTTAAAATTATTTAAATCTGTAAATTCGGTTCAAGATGCTGAACAACTTCAGATGGACCTTAATGTACTATTTGAATGGTGCGATAAAAACTGGTTGCTTCTGGATATTAATAAATGTCAGGTCATTTAATTTTTTACAATGAAAACACACACTAGTTATGATTACCACGTAGAAAACCATAGTGTTTCACGTGTCTTAGAAATTAAGGATTTAGGAGTGATTTTTGACACTTCCCTGTCGTTTAAAAATCATTACTCGTTTGTTATTAAAAAAGCTTTAAACATGTGGAGATTTATTTGGCGCCATTCTGGCGATCTTTCACCCTCAGCATTGAAATCTCTTTATTGTTCACTTGTTCGGTCGAATTTTGATTATTGTTCTCCTGTATGGTCCCCGATTTATAAGGTAGACTCTGAAAGGTTAGAAAAAGTAAAAAAAAATTTCTTCACACTATGGAATTCAAATTTGGGCACCGACATGTTAAGGGTAGTTACAACTGGATAGTGAACATGTTAGATATTCAGTCATTATTTAGTCGAAGATTGATTGCTGATGCCTGCTTTCTTCACGGCATTATCAATAGGCATATTGATCAACCATATTTGTTAGGAAAATTATCCTTCTTGTTGCCTGTAATAAGTAGCCGGATGACACGCAGTAAAAACATTTTTAGACTTCCCTGGACGCCGCTTCGAGGCTTCCGGCAACCGGCTCCAGACTTGCCTTTATACGCCCGCCGCTAAGCCGTCGATGAGTCACCGTTCATCGACACCCATACTAAAAAAACTCATAACGTCGCACCGGTGAGGTTATGGGTTTATTTCGTAACAATATTATATACAAAAATTATAAAAATTGCACAAGTTGAAATTTGTAAACATTGGAACAAACATCAAAATTAAAAATAGAATTCTGAATACATCGTTTGAAATCATTATCTCTAAAAACTAACGATAAGAAGGAAAAGAAGGGTGCCGAATCTACATATAAAAAACCCAGGCAGAATAAACCTTCAAAAAAGAACAATTTCATTATCGGCACTCAATCCTCTGTAACACCTGGAAATGATAACGACGAAGAGAATCCAGCCATACTAAGCTTCAGCGCAGTTGCGAGAAAAGCATGGATGTATGTTGGTAGGACAGCTCTAAAGACTCAACCGGAACATCTTCAGTCTCGTCTAGAGGGGAAATTTCCTGGTAAAGCCTTTATACTAGATACAACCGCTGACCAAACGTGAGGGGGCACTAACACAAGCTTTCAAAGTTGGGACAGAACCGGCTGTGATGAAAAAATAATTTAATCCCGACATCTGGCCGGTAAATAACTGGTTAGAAAATTCACGTTTTTTCGGAACTCCGACCGGAAAACTGCTTCCTTTGACAACAAGTAATTTTGGAAAGTGTCTAAACATTGTTTGTTAGAATGTCCAGAGTCTAGGTAATAAAGTGTTACGCTTGGAGGCACTGTCTACGGATATACTAGTCGTCAGCGAGCACTGGATGAATAAAAGTCGTATTCAGAGATGTAACATCAACAGCTTCAAACTTACAAATTCTTTCAGTAGAGAAAACTGCTCTCAGTTTATTAAATTTTTATCAGCACAAACCTGGGAAAGGGTCTATACTTCAGATGATCTCAGTGCTGCTTATAATATTTTTAGCACTACGTTAAATACTCTATTTCAGGAAGCTTTCCCATTTAAGAAAGTATGGGCTACTTATAAAACTAAAGGTGACTTTACTCATGTAGCACGGGTATTAAGAGATTTACGGGAGCAAGTCTCGGTTCTTGGTGAATTAGCTAAAAAATACGATGTCTTCAAGGGTATTATAAATAGTAAATATCAAAACAAACTTAGTGAGGTAAAACAGGATATCAATGATGAACGTGTTAAAACAGCCAACAATAAAAACAAAGAAATATGGCGCATAATAAAAAGCTCAGTTACTGGATAATGATGTAGCTCTGAGTTCGGTTGAAAGTGCAAACAAATTCAATAGCTACTTTGCTGAAGCTGCAGCTAAAGCAGTGAGCTCGTTAACATATACAATTGACTTTGACTGTATTTATAGTAATATTCCTCTGCACTCTAATTCGTTCTTTTTTTATCCAGTAACTATTGTCGATATACATCATGCTATTGAAAAGTTAAAAAAGACCAACTCTGCAAGCGACGACGGCATCTCCAATAACTTACTAAAAAGTATCGTTGACTATGTAGCCTTCCCACTTGTTCATATCATTAACTTGTCTTTTGAAAGGGGCGAATACCCTGAAGCACTCAAGACAGCTCTGGTTTTACCTTTATTTAAAAAAGGAGATCCTAACTTAGTAGAAAACTACAGACCTATTAGCTTATTATCAAGCATAGGGAAAGTATTTGAAATTATTGTAAATGATAAGATATTACGTTACTTAGAAAAACATAACCTGATTAACTACAGCAGCATGGTTTTAGGAAAAATTTAGGTGTGGACACAGCCCTAAGTAAATTTATTGACACCATCTACTCGTCCATGGATAACAAATTGGTTACCCTAGGTCTATTCATTGACTACTCAAAGGCATTTGACAACATGTCGCATCAAATTTTACTCAGCAAGGGTCCATTTTGGGACCTACTCTTTTTATTTTATTCACGAATGATCTGGCACGATATATAGAAACAGGCTGTAAAGTGCTGCAGGTGTACTATGCAGATGATGCTAATTACTTAATGACCGGGTCGGATTTCGTCGTTATTAGTACGCTTCAAACTTTATATGAAAGAGTCCTTTTCGGGTCG